GTTTCTTCAGGTCCCTGTCTAACCTGACTTACCTTGGGTAAATTTGTGGGCTGCCTTGCTGCAGTTCGGAGACCCCCCAATAGAGCCTGGTGGTAAGATCGGAGCCTCTCCTTACCTACCTCAGTATTGGGGTCCCAATCCGGTCTCCTCAATGGAAACCCAGCTTCAAGCTGTTCAGGGATAGTGGTGGGTCTATAAATGTACCTGTAACCATAAGTAGGTGGAGCAGAAGAGAAGGGAGAATACCTGGACCAAAAGTTTATTGTCATAAACAATATGCTGGAAAACTTGCATGGTCAAACAACATGAATACATTTTGTATACCAGAAAAGTAGCAATATTTTGAAGATAAACATGTTATAATAATATATTTAGAACTCATCCCTTTGATGATAACCAGTGCAAACATTTTTGACAACATATTTAACGAGGCATATCTTTCTATAAGGCTATGAAATTTATTTGGGTGGCTCCCATTAGTGAACAAAGATCAGAATAAATTTTCTGAGTAGCTGCTTCTTTATTTACCAACATGAGTATACTCAAACTTAAAAGTTTATATTTAATTATCTTTAAATTTTTTAATTTAACCTATAAAGCCAGGTTGTAAAAATCAACAATCTACTTGTATTTGACATCATTTTGATCAAAAACATAACTGGACAAATACTTTTGAACATTTAGACAAACAAACATATAAGACAATTTAAACTAGAGTGCACTCAGATGGTTTTGACCAATTGAATTATAAAATCTTTTAGTTACAACTAGTCAAAACATTTACAGTTCAAAATTAACAGAGATCTCTTGAACAATTAGGGTTAAAGAAATGAAAACTCTTCTTGACTGTAAATGTAAACCTTTTATAACAAACTTCAGCTTAAAGTGTCTTTTTTTCTGTTCTCAGATTGTTACATCTTAAAATTTGACTGGCTGCCAATAGAACAGTATTAACCTTGAGTTTTTAGAAAAGGGCAAGTTAACCCCATAATCACAGTTCAAGAATTTGCAATGCACAAGAAGTGTTACCAAAACTAAATAGTTTTCATTAGCAGCTGATTATCACAGAGCAGAAGTTGAGCAACTCCTAGGCTGTGTTGTTTTGAAATCTCTTTCTTATTTATGTGGAGTCCAAGGTCAGCTGCAGTCTGATGGGCCTCCTGGAAATGGTCTAAAATCAAGGTGAGGTGGGTAGATGAGTTCCCTCCCATTTTATCAGAAAATTCAATAAAAGCAAACAGACAAACAAGGGAACAAAAGAGCCAAACAGAATGTGAGACAAACAAACTGAAAGAACCAAGGACTCTGTTGGGGAATCCCTTTAATTTCTTCTTCCGAAACCAGAAGAACTCTGTCTCCACCAGAGGGCCCTGAAGCAACTTCGGGGTCCTGAGGAGGGAGTCTGAACCCACCCCCCCACCCCCCC